ATTCTCTCTCATCATTGATGTGCCTCTCTCTCCCTCCCCCTTCCTCTTTGAAATCAATAAGAACATTTTTTTAAAGAAGCCAAGAAGAGGGAAGAGTGGAGGGGGTTCGGGGCGGGGGGGGGGGGATGACGGTGCTGCAGGGGCCTCGGGCATAGGACCTGCCATCAGGTGCCTTGTGTGCTGGGACCAGCAGGGCCCTCAGGTCTGAGGGGAGTGGGTGTGGCAGGGAGCTGACAGGTGCCCAGGCTGTGCCCTAAGGGCCCAGGGCGGGGCAGGGGTCCAGGAGAGCAGATTTCCACACCACACCCGCCCTGGCTGTGGCTGGAGTGGGCGGGGCGGGGCCAGGCGCTGGGCGGGGCGGAGAAGGCCCGGTGCTCACCCTCTGCCTGCCGCCCCCCGGGCAGGTGCACCTGATGAAGCCGGACGCCGTGCCCAAGGCGTGCTGCGCGCCCACCAAGCTGAGCGCCACCTCCGTGCTCTACTACGACAGCAGCAACAACGTCATCCTGCGCAAGCACCGCAACATGGTGGTCAAGGCCTGCGGCTGCCACTGAGGCCGGCGGCCGCTGCAGCGCCTCCCGCCGGGTCAGCCCCGCCCCAGAGGCTGAGACCCTCCAAAGCTGCCATAGCTCTGGAGAGGGCAAAGAGAGGGCTCTCCTATCCAGCCAGGGCCTTCCGGGGATCTGTGGTTTGTCCCACCGCCCCCCCCCCGTAGGGACGGATGCACATAGCAGCCACGGCGTCGGTGCAGGAGGCCTCACTTAGGACTGTCCTTGGCCTTCATGGCCCACGCTGTGGGCGACCCAGGCCAGTCTGAGCGGATGACTAGCTGGTTGGGCCAGGGTTCCGGGGTAGGAGCAGGGGTTGCCTCTACCCAGGAAAACATGGGCATTCCCAGGGCCTAGTTAGACACGTGCAAGGCCTCAGTAGTGAGCACAGAAGAACCACAAGCCGGATGGGCTCATGCCCTGGGCCTGCCCTCCCTGGAGAGGTGTGACTCCCAGAGGAGCAAGAAATCTCAGGGGCTTCCAGTTCCCGCACTGCCCCCGCATGGGGCTCAGCCCTGGGCAAAGTAAGGAACTCTCAGCAGAAGCAAGGACAGACGGCCGGAGTCTCAGCAGACTCGCAGCGCGGACCTCACCGCTGCCTGGCCTCCCGCCCGTGGCCCTCAGTGAGCACCCGGGTTCTTTCCCCGCTGGACGTGGAGAGGGTCTCAGAAACCTCAGCACAAACCTTTCGGAGCTGAAACGAACAGGTTTCCGCCCCTCCTGTGCTAAGGAGCAATGCATCCCGGGAGCAGAGGGCCCAGGCCACCTCTGGAGGCATGGGGCAGGGGTGGCACTGTCGGAGTCTGCCGGAGTCTAGAAGGTAGGAACAGCCCGGCCACCTGTGTCCTGTGTCTCGGGGCCTGTGAGCCAGAGAAGAGGCCCCTGTCCCCCGGGGGAGTGACAGGCAGTCATTAGGGGGAGCTGGGTGGGAAGGTTCCCGGAAACCACTGTTCTCCCTGGAGCAGCCGAGGCGGTGGGAGTGTTTATTTGATTTCGGACTTGCTCACCCTGTAATTTACCTGCTGGAGCAGACAGTCCAGCTGCCTGAACCCTGAAATACCGTGTGGTTAATAGCAGATCCTGGGCCCACCCCAACCCACAGGCGCAGCCCACAGAGGCAGCAAGACCCGTGTGCCCAAGGACGCACGTCCCTGGAGTCCACTCTGCCCCCTGAGGGCGGCTCTGGGAGAGCCGGTCTGGGCCAGGGTGGAGGCTGGGCCAGGCGGCAGGACTGGGCGTTACTCTGAGAGTGAGAGCCGAGGAAGAGGCCCTCCCCGTGTACACAGATGGGCCCAGGCTGTCTGCAGGGCAGGGAGCGCCCCACTCGCCGGGGCTTTGAGCTCAGGCTGGCAGGGATCGGCCAGGCATTGGCGGGAATGTCAGGAGATCCGTATTCTGGTTCCAACCCAGCCAGCCACTGACCCGCTTACAGTCTGAACCAGCCCCCGTCCCGGTTCAGGCTTGTTTCCCCTCCGGGACGGGAGCCCACAGGACTCTCATCGCCAGAGGCCTTGGGAGGACGAGCCTGCCACCCTCCCCTCGTCTCAGAGCCAGGTGCCCAGAGGCCTGGACCCACTGAGCACCGCCCTCCTTTCAGCGCCAGGGCGGGGGTGGGGGGGCGCCTGGACACTGCCAACAGGTGCCAGTGTCTGCTCTCTGCCGCGCCTCAGACCACTCGGCACAGCTCAGGGTGCCAGGAGTGCGTGAAATGAACATTTTAAAGATGCAGCCTGCCTTGCCCAGCGGGACAGGAATGAGACACGAATCCCTTCCTGCCCACACCATCCAATGGAAAAGGCCTGGGGGAAGGGAGACGTTACAGACACAAAGCTGGAGGGGGCAGCGCTGTTACCAAGGCCACTTTGTCTGGTTGCCTAGCAGCCAGTCTGGCTGGTTGCCTGGCAGCCAGGTTACATAGGAGGCTGCACGTCAGAAGCATGAATGAGGGCGCCTCTGGCCCACTGGCAGCCAAGTAAACACTGGCCCCGAGGATGGGGACAGGCGAGTGGGCCACTCCGGGGGGGGGGGGGGGGGGAGCTGCTGTTCTCGGCACCCCTCGCAATCGGACAGCCCTGGCCGAGGCCAGCTTATCAGGCACAGCTCTTGTCTTTCATGTGTGTGGGGAAGTGGGTAATGTGCCCCGAGAAATTCCCTACAATTTCACAGGAAAGGAGGCCATAACCGGGAGACCGCAGGGCTGTAGCCAGGAGACCTGGCACCAAACCCCGGCTCGGCCTCGTTAATCTGAGTCCCGTAACCTGCGTTAGCGGTCCTCCCCGGGGGAAAGGGGATGGGACCAGGTCTGTTCACAGCACTTGGCACATCTGAACACGTGTGTGCAGGGAGTAGCATCTGTGAGTGCTCTCACTTCCAAATCCTTTGCAAAGGTGGCCTCCACGTGTGCCTACTCACACTCTCCCGAGTCTCAGGGCCACACCCGGACACCTGGAGTGCTGCTGTCTTCCCTTCAAAGCTGTGCTCGCCCCAGAACCCCGAGCTCGGTGAACTGTGCTTGTCTTAAGCCGGGTGGGAGGGCGGCTGCATCTCCCTGCCTGCGCAGGAGCCCTGGCCAGCAGTGCCCACCCGCGGCCTCGTGGGAAGTGGAAGGGAACACTGTGGGTTTCTCTTCCTGGGAGCCCTGAGCAGCCATTTGACTCTCTGCTAAGTTTTCCCTCACTTCAGAAAATACTAATTCCATGTATGCTGAGGAAACTTTTGAAAAGAAAAATTGATATGAACACACATAACCCCACCACAGAGAAAACGATTATTAATGATTCATCCAGCCTTTTTTATTGGCACATGTATGTCTTTATTCATGAGACACAGGTATTTTACAAAGTAAGGATCATATTCTATGCACTGCTTGGTGATCTGACTTATTGAATTTATGATATATTCTGAAATTATTAAATATTCTTTGAAAACGATTTAAGCAGCATTCCACATCTCTTCTGGGTTTTCTCTTACAAACCAGGTCGCAGCAGCCCTCACCAGAGGATGGGGGAGGGTTCCTGGGCTGGCCCTGCCCCCTCACCGGAGTCTCAGGGTCAACACCTGCACGAGGGTCATGGTGGGCCCGGGAGGGCTTCTGGGGAAACTCTTGCACAGCCCGGGGGAGAGCAACCAGCACCCTATTGTCCCACCCACCAGCCTCCTAGCCAGTCTGTGTTCCCCGCTTCCCAGGACACCAGGGAGGCCCCGTGAGTGACGAGGGCCCCACAGCCTCTCCCTGGTCCCTCAGGGTGAGGCCAGCCCTCCCTCCTGGGGCCTGGCCAGCCTGCTCCATGTGGCAGCATGTCACACCCAGACTAGCCACACCGAGTCCGTCACACCAGCCTGCGTAGCTCCTGCAAAGGGATGGACGAGCCCAGTGTTCCCAGCAAAGACCCTCGCTGTGTGGCCTAGGCGTCCGCTCACAGACGGTCAGTCACAGCTGGCAGGACCCAGGCACAGACCCTCCCCCCGTCTGACGAGTGCTGGTCCCGGGGCACAGACACACACACACACACACACACACACACACCCGTCTAACGAGGGCTGGTCCCGGGGCACAGACACACACACACACACACCCCCGTCTAACGAGTGCTGGTCCCGGGGCACAGACACACACACACACACACCCCCGTCTAACGAGGGCTGGTCCCGGGGCACAGACACACACACACACACACACACACACACACACCCCCGTCTAACGAGGGCTGGTCCCGCGGCACAGACACACACACACACACACCCCCGTCTAACGAGGGCTGGTCCCGGGGCACAGACACACACACACACACACACACACACACACACCCCGTCTAACGAGGGCTGGTCCCGCGGCACAGACACACACACACACCCCCGTCTAACGAGGGCTGGTCCCAGGGCACAGACACACACACACACACACCCCCGTCTAACGAGTGCTGGTCCCGGGGCACAGACACACACACACACACACCCCCGTCTAACGAGGGCTGGTCCCGGGACACAGACACACACACACACACACACACACACACACACACCCCGTCTAACGAGGGCTGGTCCCGGGGCACAGACACACACACACACACACACACACACACACACACCCCGTCTAACGAGGGCTGGTCCCGCGGCACAGACACACACACACACCCCCGTCTAACGAGGGCTGGTCCCGGGGCACAGACACACACACACACACACACACACACACACACACCCCGTCTGACGAGTGCTGGTCCCGGGGCACAGACACACACACACACACACACACACACCCCGTCTAACGAGGGCTGGTCCCGCGGCACAGACACACACACACACCCCCGTCTAACGAGGGCTGGTCCCGGGGCACAGACACACACACACACACACACACACACACACACCCCGTCTAACGAGGGCTGGTCCCGGGGCACAGACACACACACACACCCCGTCTAACGAGGGCTGGTCCCGCGGCACAGACACACACACACACACACACACACACACACACCCGTCTAACGAGTGCTGGTCCCGGGGCACAGACACACACACACACACACACACACACACTCACACACCCCGTCTAACGAGGGCTGGTCCCGAGACACAGACACACACACACACCCCCGTCTAACGAGGGCTGGTCCCGGGACACAGACACACACACACACACACACACACCCCGTCTAATGAGGGCTGGTCCCGCGGCACAGACACACACACACACACACACACACACACACACCCGTCTAACGAGTGCTGGTCCCGGGGCACAGACACACACACACACACACACACACACACTCACACACCCCGTCTAACGAGGGCTGGTCCCGAGACACAGACACACACACACACCCCCGTCTAACGAGGGCTGGTCCCGGGGCACAGACACACACACACACACACACACACCCCGTCTAATGAGGGCTGGTCCCAGGGCACAGACACACACACACACACACACACACACACCCGTCTAACGAGGGCTGGTCCCGGGGCACAGACACACACACACACACACACACACACACACCCGTCTAACAAGGGCTGGTCCCGGGGCACAGACACACAGACACACAGACACACACAGACACACACACACACACCCGTCTAACGAGGGCTGGTCCCGGGGCACAGACACACACACACACACACACACACACCCATCTAACGAGGGCTGGTCCCGGGGCACAGACACACACACACACACACACACACACACCCCGTCTAACGAGGGCTGGTCCCGGGGCACAGACACACACACACACACACACACACACACTGTCTAACGAGGGCTGGTCCCGGGGCACAGACACACACACACACACACACACACACACACACACCCCGTCTAACGAGGGCTGGTCCCGGGGCACAGACACACACACACACACACAAACACCCGTCTAACGAGTGCTGGGCCCGGGGCCGCGGATCCGGGCGGCAGTGCTGTGCAGACAGCGCTTCTCACACATACTCCCCACAGTCGGAGATGATCACCTTCTCCTTCGGCTTCCCGTCCTTGCTGCCCTGTGCCTTTGGGGGGGAAGAGAAGAGAAGGGGGGAGGGTGAAGATTAAAGGGGCTCAGGGACACCCCTCCCCCCAGCCCCAGGCTGACAGAGCCGCCTCCTCCTGGAGCAGCGCCCCCTCCAGGCCCCCGGCCGCGCACCGAGGCCCCCGGCCGAGCACCGAGGCCGGCAGCACCCACCTCCATCTGCCGCAGGACGTCCAGGCCGTCCGTGACCTCCCCGAACACCACGTGCTTGCCGTCCAGCCAGTCCGTCTTGTCACACGTCAGGAAGAACTGGGAGCCGTTGGTGTTTGGGCCGGAGTTGGCCATGGACAGCAGGCCTGGGGGGAACGGGCAGTCAGTCCCTCCACCGGCTCCGCAGCCCGGCCGGCGCCGGGACGGACGGACCCTGCGATGTCTGTCTTCCCCTCCGCGGGGAGCAGGGCTTCGGCCACGTTAGACGGTTTCACCTTCCACTCACTCAACAAGCACTTCCTGTCTGCTCTGCAGCCAGGCCCCCGCTCCGGGGAGCTCAGCCTCGTGGGAAGGTCACGGAGAGAGCTGTGCCGACAGCCATGCCGGAGGAGGCGGGCACGGACACGTGTGCAGCACCGGCCGCAGAGGCAGCCACCGCCGGGGCCGTGTGCTGTGCTGCCACGGAGCCTGGGGGGGCCCTCTGAGTGCCCAAGGCCCAGGCCGGGGCTGAGGGCGGGCGGCACGAGGCGCTGCAGCTGGCGCTGGTGGCGAGAAAGCCGCTTCCCGCTGGGCCTCTGCACGGCCCCTGTGGACGGAGCATGCAGTCCCCCGCCATCTCAGTGCAGAGCAGGGCAGGGGGCCGGACACCTAACAGACCAGCCTGCGAAGGCTTTAAATATTCACGTACTTTCTGTGTGTCAGCTGCTTTCCGGACACATCACTGGTGAAAACGAAAGGCCGCATCCTACCCAATGAGGCTGCCATTCTCAGAAGGAGACAGCAAACAAATAAGAAAAATGAATGTATAATTTCAGGCCTAAGTGTGTGATGTAAAGTGCAGCCGACTCCACAGGTCCAGGTGGTAGGAAAGTCCACACAGAAGCGGGTCAGGGACCAGGGGACACGTGTGCCAACTGACGGAAGCAAGGGGCACCCGTGGAGAGGGGGAGTCTCAGGGCAGCGAGGGGAGCCGGAAAGGCAGTGAGGGGAGCCGGGGGGCAGGGAGGGGAGCCGGGAGGCAGGGAGGGGATCGAGGAGGCGGGGGGGGGGGGGGCAGGGAGGGGAGCTGGGGAGGCAGGGAGGGGAGGCAGGGAGGGGAGCCGGGAGGCAGGGAGGGGAGCCGGGAGGCAGGGAGGGGAGCAGGGAGGCGGGGGGGGGGGGGCAGGGAGGGGAGCCGGGGGAAGGGGGGAGGCAGGGAGGGGAGCCGGGGGGGCAGAGAGGGGATGGGGGAGGCAGGGAGGGGAGGCAGGGAGGGGAGCAGGGAGGCAGGGGGGCAGGAAGGGGAGCTGGGGGGGGAAGGGGGGAGCCGGGGAGGGGGGAGGCGGGGAGGGGAGCGGGAGGTGGGGAGGGGAGCAGGGAGGCGGGGAGGGGAGGGGGGAGGCGGGGAGGGGAGGGGGGAGGTAGGGAGGGGAGGCAGGGAGGGGAGGCAGGGAGGCGGGGAGGGGAGGGAGGGGGAGGCGGGGAGGGGAGGGGGGAGGCGGGAAGGGGGGGAGGGGAGGGGGGAGGCGGGGAAGGGAGCAGGGAGGCGGGGAGGGGAGGCAGGGAGGGGAGCCCGGAGGCGTCAGGTCAGGGTCTGTGGGCCCTGCTGGATGGATCCTTGGGGCGATGCGGCCCAGGAGGGCTGTCAGCAGGATGATGTGACTGGGGTTGTGTTTGGGAGGGCCACCTGACTGCCGCTCAATATCAGACTCCCAGAGGCAGGAGCAGCCTGGAGGCCGGCTCCCAGACCTCGGTGGCGGAGGAGGGTGGAGGGCGGCTGGGCCAGGCGGGACGGAAGACGCTGACGCACAGTGAAGGGGAAGAGGGTCAAGGACGAGTCCTGAGTTTCTGACTCACCGGCCGGGTGCACGGTAGTGGCACTGACTGAAACAGGAAGAGCAGAGGAAGAGTTTGGAGAGAAGAGCAAGAACTGTGGGGCGTGATCCGCCTGGTCTGAGATATGGGAATAACATAGAGAAATGGAAAGCCCCAGGGATGGGATGGGACTGTCTAGGACAGGGGGTCCAAATAGGAAAACACCGCCCCCTGTAGGCTACTTGGAAACTGCAAGGTATGTTTTTGGTCCGTAGTGGGTGGGGAGGGGGAACAACTGGCATTAGTGGGAAGTGAGCCAATGCCCGGAGAAAGCAGAAGACTGTCATGTTTTTATTTTTTTTTTAAATATATTTTATTGATTTTTAACAGAGAGGAAGAGAGAGGGATAGAGAGTTAGAAACATCTATGAGAGAGAATCATGGATCAGCTGCCTCTTGCACACCCCCTACTGGGGATGTGCCTGCAACCAAGGTACATGCCCTTGACCGGAATCGAACCCGGGACCTTTCAGTCCCCAGGCCGACGCTCTATCCACTGAGCCAAACCGGTCCCGGCGACTGTCATGTTTTTAATTAAACTCCTAGAGTTATTTTATTTAAACTATGTGCAATTATGACTGTAATAAACTTATTTTTTGAAAAGGCTAGACTGAAACAAAAGGATTATGGGTAAAAAGGATCATTATGAATATTTAGAAAATCTGACTCACAACTGTGACTAGTAGTTACCTCTGGGAAATGGCTGCAGATAGAGCGGGGATGTTTATTAGCTTTTAATTTATAACTTTAAAAATAATAACTTTCACTGGAAAAACCTAGCAGAAATCTCTCTAACCTACTGATCAACGCTAACGTCACAAATATTGGAGCTGACGCCGTGTACTTCCCTATAAGATGCACTAACAAGGAATCAGCTGCTCCTGAGGCATTCCTGCCAACACACATCATCCATCTCTGCCCCGGAGGCAGGACCAGCCGGCAAACTGAGAAGCAACCTTAAAGAATGGCCTAGCTCTTCAAGGATGGCACCATCACAAAAGACAATGAAAACGGAGACTACAAGACTCTACCACTGGGTGTAATGTGCAAATCCTTGTTGGGAAGAAAAATTGATAACATTACTATCAAGGAAAATATTGGAATAAGCGATGAAGTTTGAATATGGGCTGAAGATTAGTTAATAGGGTTGAATTGATATTCTATTTCCTGATTTTGATAGTTTACTGTGACTAGCAAGGGAATATTCTGTTCTCAGGAAATACCTACTAAATTATTTAGGAGTCAAAGGACTTGTCTTCAACTTCCTCTTAACTGATACAGGGGAGAGGAGTAAACATGTGTATATAATAAAATGATAAAGTATAGGGGCAAAAAGCAAATTAACGAACGGGAAAAAGGACTGGAGCCTGCTCAACCGTTGTCATGGAAACGACATCTGTGCGCAGGAGGATCTGGATGCGGCCGGCTGGCTTGTTCCCAGTCTTGATGTCCATGTATATGTATATATAATTTTATATATACATAATTATATATATATATATATATATATATATACACACACACACACACACACACACACACACAATTTTTAAAAACACACTATAAAACTAAACCAGATGGCAATGGAAGCATGTTATCACTTTTAACTGCTTATTCTTTCTAATGGTCCTAAGCCTTTATAGAGCTTCAAAATGCCTGCCCTGCCTCATTTGTTTCCAGCTGCTGGGACCTAGGATGACTCACTTGGACTCGGGTAGGAATCGTGCCCAGGGTGCAGATTCCAGGCAGCTTCCTCCTCGGCTGGCTCAGCCACAGCTTCGACTGGAGCCTGCTCAACCGTTGTCATGGGAACGACGTCTGAGCGCAGGAGGATCTGGATGCGGCCGGCCGGCTTGTTCCCAGTCTTGATGTCCATGTACACCTGAGGGTTTGACCGGGCCTTTTTGGCAGTGGGCTCTCCCTGGGTGAAGGAGAAATCACTGGGTTAGAGAGAACTCCCTGAGCAGGGCAGTGATAGTCTTCTGCAAATACACCCGGAACCCAAATGCAGGGAGCAGGCTGGAGTGGGGTGCCGACAGGGGCGGCCTGGGCCCCGGGGGCTGCAGGAGGCAGGGACCATGGCCATAGCACTGAGCTGGATCAGCAACGGGAGGGCTGTAGCAGAACCACAGCCCACCCTGCAGGTACGCACTCCTCACACTCGACCTGCCCGCAGGGACGTAGGCTGCTTCACCCTCCCTGCAGTCACTGTAACACTGTGCTGCCCAGCACAACTCCCAACACTTCAGACCCCAGCTCAAGCCCACCCGCCTTACTCCAGTCAGAGCGGCTCTCACCTTCTCCCTCTCGCCTAACCCTACATATTCAGGTTGGCTGCACTGGGACCAAGGAGGGCAGCCGTCCTCCTGTACCTCCGTGCTCACAGACATGGAGGAGTAGGGCCCTGCTTTATGCTCCAAGTAGACCAGGCTAGATAAATGAAACATTCATTACAAACTCTCCATTTGTGAGACATAGAAAACTCTCCTGTCTTTGAACTGCCTTGTAGTGTAGCTAGGTCAACACATAGGCACTGAGCCCGGCCAGTGTCGCTCAGTGGTTGAGCATCAGCCCATGAACCATGAGGTGATGGTTTGATTCCCGATTAGGGCCCATGCCTGGATTGCAGGCTTGATCTCCAGTGGGGTGTGTGTGTGTGTGTGTGTGTGTGTGCAGGAGGCAGATAGTGATTGATTCTCTCTCATCACTAATGTTTCTATCTCTTTCTTCCTTTCTGAAATCGGCAAAAATATATTGAAAAAGAAAAAATTCAACAAGACATAAGGGTATTGAATTATCAGGCCAAGCCCTGGGGTCAAGATATAGCTCTGCCCTGGAAGAACTGGGGAAGAGATGTCCACAACTGAGAGAGGGACACTTCCTACGCCAACACGGCCTTTCTTCAAATCTCAGATCCACCACTCACAAGGCTGTGTAATGTGCAACAAGTTATTTGACCTCACTGGTCCCGTTTTGTCACCCAGAATTGGGGATAATAATAGTATTTATCTCAAAGGATTGTCAATAGGATTAAATATTTGTAAAGCAGTTAGAACATAGAGTAAGCAACAATTAAATGTTTGTTAAATAAGTGATGCAAAAAAAAAAAAAAAAAAAAGCAAAGCAGTAAATGCTTGGAGAGAGGGTTCTACGGAAGCCCAGAAGGGACACTATCTAACTCAACTGGAGGACTCAGAAAATTTCCTGGAGAAGGCAGCAGCTGAGCTCAGTTCTGACGGGGAGCAGGAGTTAACCAAATCAAATAAATTGGAAAGGGCATTTTAGGCAACAGAACTGCTTATGCAAAAACATGAGATTTATAGGTAACTACAAACTCTTGTTTCATGGACCTCCTATCCCAGACTCACTCCTGTAGGTGAGGGGCCCCTGGCTGAGTGACATCACCAGATCTGTGCTCAGGCAGCTCTCCCTGCTGCTCAGGACAGGACACAGCCTGGGGCTGCTGTCACTGCTCACAAGAGAGATGACAGAGGAGAAGGCAAGAAAATGTAGCAGGAAAAACAGGAGAGGAGAGATCCAGGAAGACATAAAAGATAAAATCAGTTGGCTGTGGCAATGCATCAGGTCAAACTGCTGGAGATCAGCAGAAGCTCCGGACGAAGGGGCAGTAGCGGCTGAAGCCAGCGGTTCCTGGCGATCCCAGAGAAGGTGCTGAAAGAACCACACCTCCTTAAGAAGGCTGCCAAGCTGTACTGCAGCTCAGCTCGTTCTCCACCACCCTGCAGGGCCAGCGTTTTGGGGAGCGCTCGCCATGTCACATGCCAGCCTGGCAAGCGCCTCGATGACTCGCAGTGGACTCGGGGAACACTTCTTAGGTGACCTAACCAGTGCCAACCATAGCATGTGGCAGAGTCTGAGTTGCCCAAAACCAAGAACAATTCAACTGAAAGTTAACACTGCTAGTTCCTCACCGGCCCCACCCTAATCTCATGGCGATGGCACCTCAGAGATGGGCCAAGACAGGGGCACAGCAGAGGAGGAGGGGGAGTGTGAGTTGTCGGCACTGACATCTGCTGTGGGAAGCGGTGAAGCAGATTACGGCACGCTCACCAGTTACAACTCCTTCGCCTCGAAGGTGGACTGGTGTGAGCTCAGAGGAGACCGAGAGCATTGGGCGGGAGACAAAGATCCCGAGAGAAACAAGACTCTTCAAAAGAGGCATCGACTTCTTGCTCGTCTCATCAGGACAGGCCCCCAATGAAACCCTTCACTCCCACTCGGAATGCACCCCACGCCAAAATATTCCGAGCTGGCTGTTCGAGCCTGGCGTCTGCGACGGTGGGAGACTCGCACGATCAGCATGAGGCTTGGCGAGTTAACAGATCAGGGAGCAGCCAAGACAACACCCTAGGTCAGAAGAGCCGCTCGGCGACAGGAAGAGCAGGAAGACGAGCGAGTGCTCGCCATGCCCTGGTTGCGACAGAACCCTAACCCTCCTCACGAGACAGGACCACAGGAATGTGCATCTTCCCCAAGGAAAGCTGAGCAGTTACCCGCTCCCTGGCCCCCTGCGTCAGTCAGCTCTGCACCGCGACAGCCAAGACGCTTACCCCTGCTTTGTGTCTGATAAAGGGCCAAGCAACGGAGTATTCTGTTTCCTAGCTGATGAACCAGTGATTCTTGTTTTGGCATTATCCTTCTCATGCAGTATTTCAATTCCTTAACTGGAAAGAAGAATATTGAGAAATGGCTCTCTATAATCAATGGCTGTAAGAATGACCCTTAAAAATATATTTTTAAAGAAGTTTATTTTGGACCCTTTCATAAAAATTAAAAAACATGAATTAAGATTCTTTAAAAAGATTTAGGTCGCCCTTGTGATTTCTTTAGAAACAAATATGAATAAGGTAAAAAAAAATTTTTTTTTGAATGACAGCACGAAATGACATCCTTATTTCATCCTTAAGTAAAAAAGATTGGTCCTAAAGATTTTTTAAATGGCCAAACATTGAAGGGTTTTGTTAAAACAATGCCCCTCAACACGTTGGCCACATTCTAGCCTTGAAAACTGAGAATATGCTTATTATACAACAAGAAGGAACTAAGGTTACAGATGGAAACAGATTCTCCCCTAGAGCCTCCAGAATGAGCACAGCACTGCCGATCCCTGGACTTGAACTTGGTGAGACCCGTTTTGGACTTCAGATGTCTAGAACTACACTAAGAAAACACACCTGTACCGTGTAACCACCCATGTGTGGAGATTTGTTAGAGCAGTAATAGGAATTCATTTCTTCTGAAGCACCCACCCTGTCATAATCCTGTAGGTATTCTGTTCCTTGGTTGTTAATTGGTTTAACTTCACAAGAGCGTCACTTTTCAATGGTTCCAAAGAGCCTCGCTTTCTGCCCTGGCTGGCTTGGCTCACTGGATAGGAACGTCAGACTGCGGACTGAAGGGTGTGCAGGAGGCAGCCAATCAATGATTTTCTCTCATCTTTGACATCTCAAGCTCTCTCCCCGCTTCCTCTCTGAAAGCAATCTATACTAATAAAAGGGTAATATGCTAATTAGACTGGGAGACCTTCTTCTGGACAGAGCCATGGTAGCAGGGCTGAGGAGAGGTGTTAGAGGCCAAGAGGGGAGGGCAGTTGTGGGTGATGAGGCTGGTGGGGGGATTGAGAGTGATTAGGTCAGCGAGCAGCAGGCAGTTGGGGGTGAGAAGACCAACAGGGGGCATTTGGGGGTGAGCAGGCCAGCGGCAGGGGAAGTTGGGGGCAAGCAGAGCAGGTGACTAGGGGCAATCAGGCAGGCAGGCAGGCAAGTGTTTAGGAGCCAGCAGTCCCAGATTGTGAGAGGGATGTCTGACTGCTGGTTTAGGCCCTATCCCTATAAACCAGCAGTAGGATATCCTTCGAAGGGTCCCAGATTGGAGAGGGTGCAGGCCAGGCTGAGGGACACCCCCACACACACACGACCCCCACCCCCATCGTGCAATTTCATGCACTGAGCCACTAGTCCTATATAATAAAAGGCTGATATGCAAATTGACCAAATAGCAGAACAACCAGTCGCTATGACACATACTGACCACCAGGGGGCAGATGTTCAACATAGGATGCCCCCTGATGGTCAGTGCACTCCCACAGCGGGAGCACTGCTCTGCCAGAAGCCCTGAGCTGGGCTCACGGCTGGCGAGCACAGCGACGGTGGCAGGAGCCTTCCACCTCCACAGTAGGACTAAGGATGCCCAACTGCTGGCTTAGGCTCGCTTTGGGGAGCAGGCCCAAGCCATCAGTTGGACATCCTGAGGGCTCCTGGGCTGTGAGAGGGCGCCCCTGATCGCCCCCACCCCTGCTGGCCTGCTGGCTCCCACCTGCCCTCCCCACTAGCCTACTGGCTCCCCAACTGCCCCCCTGCCACCGGCCTGCTCACCCCCAACTGCCCTCCTGCCACCGACCTGCTCGCCCCCAATTGCCCCCTCCACCAGCCTTATCACCCCCAACTGCCCCCCTGCTGGCCTGCTGGCTCCCACCTGCCCTCCTACCACTGGCCTGCTTGCCCCCAATTGCCCCCCCCCACCAGCCTTATCACCCCCAACTGCCCCCCTGCTGGCCTGCTGGCTCCCACCTGCCCTCCTACCACCGGCCTGCTCGCCCCCAAACACCCCCCCTGCCACCGGCCTGCTCGCCCCCAACCGCCCCCCTGCCACGGGCCTGCTCGCCCCCAACCGCCCCCCTGCCACGGGCCTGCTCGCCCCCAACCGCCCCCCTGCCACCGGCCTGCTCGCCCCCAACCGCCCCCCTGCCACCGGCCTGCTCGCCCCCAACCGCCCCCCCTGCCACCGGCCTGCTCGCCCCAAACACCCCCCTGCCACCGGCCTGCTCGCCCCCAACCGCCCCCCTGCTGGCCTGCTCACTCCAAACTCCCCCTCCCCTCCGCTGTCCTGATCACCTCAGGC